CAATCATTAAAGATGTTGGATAATATGACCTTGCGAAATTTCAGTCATTTTATTACAAACGGGAAATTGATGCCCCAACACCCGATTGGGCTGTCAATTTCCCGTGCGTAATACAAAAACTTCGCATGGCTATATTATCCGCATTTTACAACATTTCGCAACAAAACTTTGGAATATTACTAATTTGGCGATGCTCTTTCAAGCTGTGATGAAATTGTTGTCTAGATCAAAATTTAGTCTATAATGCAAATGGTCCATTGCAAGGAGTTGAAATCTAGTCCTGTCCTCATAGTCGAATTTGAAATATTACGCCTCAATCTTTTGTCTCTGTCCAAAGAATGTTCAAAACTGTGATCGATTTAGTCTGAAAATTCAACCTCCTGCGCAACAGAATAGCCTTTCACGTAATATATGAACAACGAGAGCGAGTGTTTCACCGGGATATCCAAACACGAGAAAACAATGTATGAGAACACGAGCGCGAAGAGTGAGTGTTTTCATACATTGTTTTCGAGTGTTTGGATATCCCGGTGAGACACTCGCTCTCGTTGTTTATATGGCTTCTCAAATGAATTGAGACGTAACAGAATGTTTTCGTTTGCTGATTTGAATAGAATTCTTAACCAAGCATAACGTAATTAGGAATTCTATTCAAGTAATTTTGCATGCGTAATTAAGATATTTGATGAAAACACTAGTGACTTTCATCAAGTATCCAAATGGCATCTTGTGATCAAATAGGTGATTATCATTGGCTGAATTATCATGAATTATTAATGAATTTGAGAAATACATATCCCAAACTCATGCTTTATTTTGTCAGACACATGATAATACTTCAATTCAATTCAATTCAAAAGTCTTTTTAATAGATCAAAAGATAAAAATACATATCTTATGTTACAAGTACATATTAAGAATACATTAGTAAAGTTTACATCATATGAATAGGTTATAGTTAAAAATTAATCTATTTGCAAACGACAATTTAAAACGTTCCGTGTTCACTCTTGGATACTGACTAAACTCTGTCCTCAAAGAGTAGCTTGTGGATTTTTTTCTTGGTATCAAGTCGACTATGGCACTCTTCTGATTTACAGAAGCCTTAAAAATATTTCTGTCTTGTATTTCTAAAAGATATCTAATATTTACAGGTTCTGATATATACTTTCGCTTAAAACATCTGTCAAAAAACCGTTGTAGAGTATTGAGTTCGGCTGGAGAAGAACCGTAGACGGACAGGCCAAACGTTATAGTAGATATTACTAGGGTCTTAAATAGATAATCTATCTCACATTGGCTATAGCCTTCTGCCCTGAGTGTTCGTATAACGTACAAGCATTTGTTTGCTTTGACCAATTTACCTCGCACATGACTGGTGAACTTGAGATTGTCTTGAAAAGTAGTACCTAAAATGGGAAGTTCTTTGCATTGGGGTATATTATAAACATTGTCAAGTTGATCATTATATCCCTTCTTCCGGATGATAAGCTCTTTACATTTACCAGGGTTACAAGTCATAAAATTATCATCAGACCAGCTCAGGAATTGTCCAACTGTATCTGTTGATGTATCAGGACCCTCACTCCAAACTGGCACTATTATATTTGAATCGTCCGCATATTTAAAAAGAGCGTTCTCGCCGTCTATGTCCACCTCTAAATCATTTAGGAAAATATTAAAAAGGTAGGGGCCACTTACGCTCCCCTGTGTTGTACCCTTATTAACATCCATCCATTCTCCACAAAAATCGTTACAAACGACTCTTTGCTTTCTATTCTTTAGAAAATTTAAATACCAATTTATGATATAAGGGTTGAGTGGCACAGTTTTTAACTTTTCCGAGAGGAGTGAATGTTTCACTGAGTCGAAAGCCTTGCTAAAATCCATAGAAAACAGTCTAACTGCTTTGCAGTTCGCTCTATCTAAGAAGCTGAGTACTTTGTTCTGAATAGTTAACAGAGCGTTTGTACAACTCCCCCCCTGCCTGTACGCAAATTGCGTTGGGGATAAAATTTCCTCAACTGTCGACTTGACCTGACTATTATAAACGAGCTTTTCGAAGGTCCTCGCAATTACAGGTGTAATATTTATTCCACGAAAGTCACCATCTTCCTTTGGTAAATCAACCTTTGCAAGAGGGTTAATATTCGCTCTTTTCCATGAATCTGGCCAAGTATGTGATGAAAGGGACAAATTCCAGACGTTAGTTATAACTTCGGTTAGAATTTCCGCATGATCATTCCAAACCCAATAGGGAATATAATCGGGACCTGTTGCTGTCCTCTTTATTCTTTTCAAGGCATTCCATACCTGCTGTTCCGTAAAGCTAGGAATATCTACTTCATCACCAATAATTGAGAGCGTCGGTTCGACATAACTATCATCGTGGCAGAGTTCGCCAAAGTAGCGATTTAATCTTGTAAGTGATGCATTATCTAAAGTAACTCTTGATGACGATGCATTTCGCTGAGAAATATCATTCGTCTTTCTCCACCAAGTTCTACTTCCCACCAAGGCCCTAAAATTTCTTCTGTTTTGACAAATGACATCAGAAATCCTTTTGTTAATTAAACTGAGTCTATCCTTTTGCGACCGAGCAATTCTGGATTTAGATTTTAGCAAAGATTTAATTAAAGGACTCATCCAGTAAGGGTCACGTGACGAAATTGAGACTGTTTTTGTGGGCATACATTTATTCATATGATCCATGATCTTACGTTCAAGACAATTCACAGCGTCATTTACATTCGTGGACTGCGATACATCCTCCCAATCTTCTTCTGCTAAAGCTTTGTGGAAATCTTCCTTTCGATGCTTTCTACAATCCCGAAATTCAACCTTTCGGCGCATAGGTTTTAGTTTCGTCCCTGCTGGTAAAATAACCCCCATGTGGTCTGTTTTAGTTAACATGTGGAAAGGATAACATTTTGAGAACAAATCTATTCTATTTGTAAGGCAGTTATCCAAACATGCGTTACCCCTTGTTGAAAAGTCGACCATTGCATCCCATCCTGATAGTTCCTCAAGGTGTTTTATGTCCAAACTGTTCAAATCCCCTCCACAAACAATTACAGTGTCTGGATATTTGTCCAGAACGTCGTCAGAAATATTTATCAAATAATCCAATAAGTCGCTCTCCAGATAATTGTGCCTAGGTGGGTGATAAAGGCCATATATCGACATGCGGTTTCCTGTAGGTAACAGAAGTGTGACACCAATAAGTTCGTACAAACTGGATCGATAAATATCAATAACTTTTAAGTTGTTCCGAACATATATTGCTACCCCTCCTTTTGCTCTCATATCGCGTCCTTCCCAACTTCTATCTCTTCTAAATATTGAATAATTGTGAATGGTCACCACAGCATCTGGCATTTCAGGTTTCAGGTGACTCTCGCTCACCACACATACATCTATATCGTTATTGACGGGACTAGCTAACAGTCGTGGGTCGTGGGTAGAATGTCGTGGGTCGTGGGTAGAAATATTGAATAATTGTGAATGGTCACCACAGCATCTGGCATTTCAGGTTTCAGGTGACTCTCGCTCACCACACATACATCTATATCGTTATTGACGGGACTAGCTAACAAGTCGTGGGTCGTGGGTAGAATGTCGTGGGTCGTGGGTAGAATGTCGTGGGTCGTGGGTAAAAAGTCGTGGGTCGTGGGTAAAAAAGTCGTAAGTCGTGGGTAAAAAGGAGTGGGTCGTGGGTAAAAAGGCGTGGGTCGTGGGTAAAAAGGCGTGGGTCGTGGGTAAAAAGTCGTGGGTCCCGAATAAAAAGTCGTGGGTTCCAAGCAAAATATTTCCATATATTTACCTTTCTCCCTTTGGAATGCGTGTTTTCTTTTCTTCTGAGGCTTTCCCAAACTATGCCCAAATATGCATAGCTTAGAGCGCGTTAAGGCCGGGTTTTTGATATCGTATTTGATAAATATTATAACCAAGTGTGGATGAAACAGTTCAACTTCAAGCCCCATATAGCTCAAATATTTGGACGTTGTAATCTTATAGACAGATAAATATTGTAATTCTTCAATAGGAAATAGTGCTGTCAAGCCTGTCATAAATAGCTAAATTCTGACATTCAGGGCTTCACTAATTTGTTGATCCATGTTCTTACAGTAATAAGCGAGAAATTTCCACTTTGACAGTGTTAATTTAATGCAATGTCTGTTAATTTACTAGGGAAAAATAAAAGAAAGCATTTGAGAGATTTCACTTAAATACATACCATGATGTATACATACCAAGAAGTAGTGAATCTAGTGTCAAATTTATCATGATGTGATTTGTATTTTCTAATGTCACATAGTGACACATACAGTATTTTGTAACATTCATGCTTTGACTTATCTTTCAGTACGCTTTTATCGGATTATTTTACCGTAGGTTTGATAACAGAGAGGTATACTTCTACATATTTCTTGAGCATCAAGTTTCAGCGAAGTCAATGGCAAGTTGGAATTTGGAAATTTCACAGCGCTTATTTAATAACAGCCGGAGTAGCATTGTTTACATGCAAGGTTTGTTCCGTTTGTAGTTTGCGATATTTCGAATCAGAAATCGTTTAGGATAGACTTCAGCAGTTTTAAATAACAGCAACATTGGTTGGTCTAGAGATATATTTTCTTGTAATGTTTACGACGATGTCGGTAATATCAACAACAAAATTACCGATATGGATATCGATGCATCACTATTTTGCAGACCGGCGATCTTCGAATTCTTTGTATAGTATATACATGAAGACCATAATATAAGTCAAATGTCATATTATTTCATTAATTAAATGGTTAGCTATACTCCGCAGTTCCATATATAGCTTTGAAAACATGATGCCATTGCCGGTTATAAAAATTTGACTATAATATCGAGTGGATAGTGCTACTCACTCGTACATGTGGCCTTGAGCCATATTCTTATTGACGAATTGCAGTAACTAATTTATCTGTCTATATTAAAGATTATAACGTCCAAATATTTGAGCTATATGGGGCGTGAAGTTGAACTGTTTCATCCACACTTGGTTATAATATTTATAAACCGATCTGCCGATATCAAAAACCCGGCCTTAACGCGCTCTAAGCTATGCATATTTGGGCATAGTTTGGGAAAGCCTCAGAAGAAAAAAAAACACGCATTCCAAAGGGAGAAAGGTAAATATATGGAAATATTTTGCTTGGAACCCACGACTTTTTATTCGGGACCCACGATTTTTTACCCACGACCCACGCCTTTTTACCCACGACCCACGCCTTTTTACCCACGACCCACGCCTTTTTACCCACGACCCACGATTTTTTACCCACGACCCACGCCTTTTTACCCACGACCCACGCCTTTTTACCCACGACCCACGCCTTTTTACCCACGACCCACGACATTCTACCCACGACCCACGACATTCTACCCACGACCCACGACTGTTAGCTAGTCCCTTATTGACCAAGTCTGCCTCCAGTGCAACTACAGCTCGTACTCGATTTTTTGTTTTTGCCAGACTACATATGTTGATAAACATAAACTTAGGAACAGCAAAACCCGACTCTCTCGAAGGAACTTTTCTTGTGGATGTTAAATTAATTGGAATTAATGCCTTGTAATTGGGAACACGTGATGTAACAGGATATTTGGATACCTGGTATCCAGTCCTGGGACTAAATCAAAATTAATTCACCTCACTTTAAGTGGTGATTTATTCGTATGAGATGTAATATTTCAAATCCGACTACGAGGACTGGACTAGATTTCAAGTCCTCGCATTTTGATTGAAGAGTGTTTTATGAGGTATAACTGAGTCACTGCACATGCCGTATTATTTAACAGGCTAAAAATCTTATGAATTATTAATGAGTCTTGAAGTCGTTTTAATATGCTCGTACGATTTTTAGACACTTTGTATACAGACAATGAATGCATTTCCCAACACATAGTCTGTCAAGATATGATGGTCTGGAGTCCCGGCAAACTTCAAAGCCACAAAATAGAAGACCTTTGTTTGATGTTGAATGTACCTCACCATGCACAAATCCTTTGTCTCAACTTCATTAAATATTATTCACCGTGGGTTTCGCGTTTCATCTCAGCCTATTGGACGATTACTTCATTATACGAAAATACAATGAGCTCAATCACCGTGACCGTGCACAAATTAACATAAACTCCGACAAAAACATTTTACAATGACTTCTGCTTAGTTTCCAGATCATCATATCTTGATAGACTATGCCCAACAATAACGAGAAGTAGTGGTCAAAGCATAAAATATGGCCGCTATAGACCTTATGCATAATGACGTCACAAGGCTGGATGCCCGCGAGGAATGTTGGTCCTAGTAGTCATCACCCGGGAAATGGCCACTATCGAAATTTTCCCGGGCGATGACTACTAAGACCAGCATTCCTCGCGGGCAACAAATCGTGTGACGTCATTATGCATAAGGTCTATTGTCGACTCAAAGCTGCTTTGAACAAATTAAAAACAGCTGAATCCGTATATTTATCTATTATTAACAGGACGTGTGGAGCAGCTATATAACGGACAGGGATGGCACACAGCTTGTGACGATTCCTGGGGGGATGAGGAAGCTAATGTGGTATGCAGACAACTTGGTTATCCTGGGTATATAAAAGGCACACAGGGCGGTGTCTTTCCACCAGGTAAATCAGTCAATGTAAGGGACCGGTCATTATTTATGGGATGGCGGGGGTGACACCGAAGAGAAATGTTTTTCTTGGAAAACAATTCGCTGATCAAACCATTGAAAAGTCAAAAATTTTTTTACCCCACCTCAAAAAAAATTTGACAAAAGGATACCATTCACTTGTCACAAATGTCTTTTCATAGTGACTCTGATTGCGCATGCATGATTTACATATTGTATCGACTTTTTATGACTGTTGACATTGCTTTTTAGTCTTCAATATTTAAGTGACTCATGCTTTGGAAATGACAGTAAATTTTTATTACCCAACCCTTAAAAGTCGTTTTGTTTCTCATTTACCCAACCTTTACTCACTCACATGTTTTGTTTACCCAACCCTTTTCTCTTCGGTGCCAACCCCAGCCATAAATAATGACCGGTCCCTAAAGGCCATGTTACACGGTGCAATTTTTCTTGCAACTTGCAATGCAATTCTACTCTTGAGAGATGTTAATTAGTGAAATCAGTGAAGAATTTTCGATATGTTGAGAAAACATCAGCGGAGTGTAATGAAGACTTGTATTTGGTAATTTTACATCTCTCAAGAGTAGAATTGCATTGCAAGTTGCAAATTGCACCGTCTAACATGGCTTAAAGTGCCAAAAACTCTAACTTGTGCAATAAACACGAAGCTCTCGGAAGATGTTCTGTGACTGGTTGATTATGACAATGACAAAAGACGTAATTGGCTTACACAAACAAAAGGAATATTGTTCTTGCTTCGTTCTTTAGAAAATCCATTCTATATCTTATTCTTTTGTCATTGTCATAATCAACCAATCACAGAACATCTTCCTAGAGCTTCGTACCGACCCAACTTGTGATCAGGCGTTCTTATTCGAGCTCATGGCTACTATAATGTAATGAAAAAATACTATTTTGCAATCTTTGAGTTCCTTTAACTCAAAACCGGCTAGAAAATTCGCACTACTCACTTAAGTGCAATACTTAAAAATAAAACATAGCAATTTAGTATCTTTGCACAAGTGAATATAACAAAAATTGGTCAAGTTGATAGCTTAAAGCTGTTATATTCCCCTAAGTTGCTGTAATGTAATGTATAACAAAACCGAAATTTGCAAAATGGCGGCTAGCCGTTTTGTGGAAGTTACTGCATGATAAAGAAATGAGCGAAATTAAATAAATTCAGTCTTGTGTAAAAACACTAAAACAATTATTCGCCTCAGGCTCAGTGATTATTGGGCATTGTTATATAGCTAGCGTGAACACCAAACGTGATTGGCTGATTTGTGGTCACGTGACTTCAGATAAATGCAATGTTTCCCGCAGGGCAACAAGTGAAAAATTGTTGCCCGCCCCGACCAGCCACGTACATAAATAAACAAAATGGAGGCAAAACTCAGATAATTAGAAACTACGATTTTCCAAGTTTGTGTTCAAATAAAGAATATAAAAGAGAAGAAAAATACACAACAGGCAACAGGATATGCTGCTGAAACCGTTTAAGTAGGTTCTTTTAATTTTAAACTCGTTTACACTATAGAGTTTTTGTCACGAAATACAATTGTTGTTGAAGTTGATTTTTGTTCGTCGCTATATAACAAAGCACTTAATGCCTGTTCCCTCGGGAAATAGTTAGTTTTGTTTTCCGGCCTCGAATCTTAATGTTTCCCTCGACTTCGTCTCGGGAAACATTGAGATTCTCGGGAAAACAAAACTAACTATTTCCCTCGGGAGCAGACATTAAGTGTATTAAGCCCGTTCTCCACTAGGCGAATTTATTCGCGCGAACAGATAAAAAGTAGGAAGCGATCCTACTTTTTCGCCGACCAATCACGTTGCCGGATTTCGGTTTTCGCTTCGCGTCGCGCGAACAAATTCGCGTAGTGGAGAACGGGCTTAATATTCACCTCGACTTCGTCTCGGCGAATGTTACCTAATAATCACCTCGCCTTCGAATTTATTCGCGCGAAGCGAAAAACAAATCTTGGCAATGTGATTGGTCGGCGAAAAAATTCGCCGCGAAAAGTTGGACTATTTTAAGGCCTGATTCCACGAGCGCTTTTTGTCGGCGAAATGCGAAATATTTCGCCTGTTTCTTTTGAATTGCGACCACTCGAATAAATTATTTCTACTTGATTGCTCACAATTCAAAAGAAACAGGCAAAATATTTCGCATTTCGCTGACAAAAAGCGCTCGTGGAATCAGGGCTTAAGACAAAAGAAATATTCGCTTCGCGCGAAAAAATTCGCAAGTGGAAAACCGGCTTATTTGTTCGCGCGAATCTTTTGTATTATGAGCTCTCGGCTGGAACTAATTAGATTTTTGATCAATTCTTTTCAATTTAAACAATAGAAAATTCGCTTCGCGCGAAGAAATTCACTAGTGGAAAACCGGCTTAATAGGTTTTCCACTTGCGAATTTTTTCGCGCGAAGCGAATTTTTCATTTGTCTTTGGTTTCTCAACTGGAACCGTGTGGAATTAATTGGATAAAGACAAAAGAAATATTCGCTTCGCGTGAAAAAATTCGCAAGTGGAAAACCGGCTTTAGTTCCTACTTTTTTACTGTTTGCGCGAACAAATTCGCCTAGTGGAAAATGGGCATGAGATGTGCCAATATATATGTAGTCTTGTAGTCAGCTATACGAAAATGCCTGTGCAACATTCAGAGTTTTCCCTACCGCAATACTTGGTGAATGAATTAATCAGTGAGAGCTTGTATACTTTGATATTGTAAATATAATAACTTGACACTATTTTGTAAACATAGACAATTCCCATTATAGACTAATTTTAAAACTTGGCAAAGAGATGCAAATAAATCACCACAGCTAGAAAGAGCAAACTGAATGAGTAAAATTGCAAAGTTTGGTTGCGAAATGTTGTAAAATACGGAATATATAACCTTACAAAGTTTGCAAATTTTGTATACTTTTGTGTTGCGTGCGGAAATTGCTACCATTTTCGGCTCAAATGTGGTAGCAATTTCCGCACGCAATACAAAATTATACAAAATTTGCGAAATCAACTTTGCAAGGCCATATTTTCCGCATTTTACAACATTTCGCAACCAAACTTTGCAATTTTACTCATTTTAGTATGCTCTTTCTAGCTGTGGTGATTTATTTGCACCTCCTTGCCAAGTTTTAAAATTAATCTATAATGGTAATTGTCTATTATTTATTAATTTAGGTACCGGAACTATTTTATTCGACGACACCGCATGTACAGGAAGCGAGACTAACATCATGAGTTGCCCAAGAAGCTCAACAATGAACTGCGGGCACAGTGAAGATGCGGGCGTCATCTGTCAGCCACATGTCCGCCTTGCCGGCTCGAGCAAATACTACGAAGGCAGGGTAGAGGCATACAAGGATGGGACGTGGGGGACAGTGTGTGATCATATGTGGGACATCGTGGATGCCGATGTGGTTTGTCGTATGCTTGGCTTCGACGGAGCTTACGAGGCTTACAAGGGTGCACACTTCGGGGAAGGAGTTGGAACTATCCACTACAACGGCCTACAATGTAACGGTAACGAAAACCGTATATTACATTGCCCCAAAAGTAGCGGAACTTGTACCCACGCCAACGATGCAGGAGTGCGCTGTAAATTCATGCGATTGGCTGGTGGATCTCACAGAAACGAAGGACGGGTGGAACTGTTCAACGACACGTGGGGAACGGTTTGTGATCCAGAATTCGGCTATCTGGATGGTCGCCAGGTGGCTCGCGAATTAAGCCGAAGTGCGTGCATCATAAGATGGAATTCTCCGTATATTTTCGGTTCAGGAAGTGGTGACATCAAAATGAGCAATCTCGCGTGCGAAAGCTATTCTTTACATGATAGCATATTTGATTGCCCACATTCAGAGGGTGCGTCACAATGCACACACAGCAACGATGTCAGCATGAGAACCAACCCGGGGGTAAGGATATATGAGGACAATAGAGACGGGCGAGGTGCTGTCGGTGTTTTCCGAGAGAAAATGTGGTCATATGTGTGTGCGAATGATTGGGACATTCGTGACGCGCATGTTGTGTGTCGTGAAATGAAATTAACCGGTGGAGCCGTTGAAGCAACCAAAATACCACGGGAATCGTTAACGACGTCTTCGTCTTCGTCTTTGCCGATACGTGGCGGATACCAATGCGAAGGGTACGAATCGAATATTGAAGATTGCGAGAGAAGTTCGGTACCTACAACCTGTCCTCACTACGCCGGTATAGTCTGCCAAACGTTGCGATTGGCCGATGGTTCGAGCCCACATAATGGTCTCCTCCAGGTATATAAATCGGGCTATTTTGGCGGTATCTGTGCCGACAGTTGGGATACGCGTGATGCGCACGTGGCTTGCATACAGCTCGGTTTTGCCGCTGGTGTTCTGACAACAAACCGCGTGACCGCAGGACAAGCCAGGAGTAGTGGTCTCAATTGGATTACTAAGGTATGGTGCGGAGGTTTGGAGAAGAATATTTTTGACTGCCCATTCGAGTGGGATTCATGCTCCAGGAGCGAAGAAGTCTGGGTCGAATGTAGACCTTAATTAGCTTATACATTGTTTTTATCATTTGTCACAAACACAATCATTACGCATATATTTACAATAAACAGAGGACACAAGTGTGCCTGAGGAAAGGAACAGGACTTGCGTCCCAATAGACCTTTCCCCTTTTGAGTGAAATTTTTATCTAGACAAGTCTGGACAAAAATTTCATCACAGCTTGAAAGAGCATCACAAAATTAGTAATATTCCGAAGTTTCGTTGCGAAATGTTGTAAAATGCGGATAATATAGCCTTGCGAAGTTTGCCGTTTTTCAGTCATTTTGCATTACAAACGGGAAATTGATAATCAGATGATCGAACTGATTACCAATTTCCCATTTGTAATACAAAATGACTGAAAAACGGCAAAATTCGCAAGGCTATATTATCTGCATTTTACAACATTTCGCAACGAAACTTCGATCGGAATATTACTAATTTTGCGATGCTCTTTCAAGCTGTGATGAAATTTTTGGCCAGGCATATCTAGATAAAAATTTCGCTCATAAGGGGAAGGGGTCTGACCCCAACATTATAACTAGACTTTGCTGCTTGTTGGCTGCACACCGAGCACAATGACCTTCTCCATGGTTTCGAGACATAACACTTATCTCAATAAAACACTGGATTATGCAATATATTGTTTGCTGATCTCAATACAGCACTGGATTATGCAACATAATGTTGATTGATGACCTCAATATAACACTGGACCATGCACTATAATGTTCGATTACCTCAATACTAACACTGGACCATGCAATGTATTGTTTGATGATCTTAATATAACACTGGATTATGCAACATAATGTTGATTGATAACCTCAATGTAACACTGGCCATGCAATATAATGTTCGATGATCTCAATATAACACTGGACGATGCAATGTATTGTTCGATGATCTCAATATAACACTGAATCATGCAACGTATTGTTCGATGACCTCAATATAACACAGGACCATGCAATATATTGTTGTTCGATGATCTCAATATCACATTGGACCATGCAAACGTATTGTTGTTTGATGATCTCAATATAACACTGGATAGATACAATGTCTGATGTATATGAAGTCAATATGCACTGTTTTATCAATGAAAAACAAATTTTGAAAAAACTAAGTTACTCTACAATTTTAAGAATTAATAATAATAATTCCTTAAATTCACTTTATATAACACTGACCGAACAATGCGACTGAATATAGAATATATTCAGATTTGGTAGCATCGAGGACACTGGGATTTTCAAAAAAATGAAAGGCAATGGAATTATTGCCTATTGTTATACTAAGTTTATACTGCCATGCACCTGGATCAAAGAACCTTCGAAAATTAAACAGAAAAAAAAATAACAAGACTGCCATACCGTACGGTTCAACGATCATTGACAACCTGCCAAAGACTGGCAGTTCAAAACCATAGATATCTTATATACACTTGATAGTGCATCAAATTATTCTGCAATTCACAAATTGAAGCCGTGATTGCAGACTCAGGATATTCAGATGAAATGAGAAGATTCGCATGTTTCTATTTTTTAAACAGGCAACTTAAACATTAAGTTACTCTCGATTTCAATTTGCTTTTCAAAACTGACTTCCAATGTTTACTTGTAAATTCGAAATGTTCGTTGTAAAGTTCCGAAGTTTGCTTCGAAGTTCGTTCCGATGATTTACGATAATCAAGTTTAGTAAGTTGTAATTGGCTAGTTAAGTGAACCAGCCAATCAAATCGCTTGCTATTGAATCATCGTAAATCATCGTAACGAACTTCGAAACAAACTTCGGAACTTTACAACGAACATTCCGAATTTACAAGTAAACATTGGAAGTCAGTTTTGAAAAGCAAATTGAAATCGAGAGTAAACCTGTTCCAAATACATTTTTAAACTATTCAAATTAAAGTTGTTGTTTTTAAGCGTTTATTAGCGAGTGGGAACTACCAACATGGCCGCCATCTATTCAAATGGGGGTAACCTGAAGTTCAGGCCCTATCACAGAATAGGGCCTGACACAAAACCTATCTAAAGTGTGGGATTCCCGTCCACCTGGTGGACGGGAAATCTGATTGGTTGATCAGCATCATGAAGGATTTTGATTGGTTGCAAGTTCACATAAACAACAGTTTTAAAAATAGCTCGGTCAAGGCGAGAATTAATATAAAGGTCAAGCGCACGTAACAAATTCCATTATCGATTTCTTCGAATTTCTTTTCTTTTATGCTTTATGGCAGAAAATAAATCAAACAAACAGTATTTTGAAAGGGCTTCATCAAAATCTTTGACGAATTTTGGATACACACGACGCTGAAAGAACAGCCAAACTAGTCATGTATTCGAAAGCTTGTTGTTGACAGCCAAGATGTTCTGCCAAATTGCTTGAATCGCCGGCAAAAGTCTTAGTTCTAATATCAGGTCCTACCGGCGTTGTTTTCTGAGCTACATCGCCTTCTTAGTGGTATGATTGAGAATTTAATTGTTGCTGTTATTAGCCCGTTAGTCGCTAGAGTATATCCGCGTCCAGCAAGTTGAGACCTTGAGAAAGCTTGGCAGTCAAGCCGTGCACAGAACTGACTAATTAAATCTTTGTTCGCTGTTCGCCTGTTCGGTTAAATAGAGAAACTGACTCTTAATTATATAAAAGTACCTTGAATTTTTAAGTTTAATTAAAAAGCAAAATGCTCTGCGGACATGTTCATGAGAATATAATTTTTTTGTGTAACGAAATCTACAACACTTGTCAATCATATTGCATGTGTGTCTAAAAATAACATGTGGGCGTATCACGGTCTAGACAGGTTTTGTGTCAGGCCCTATTTCAAATTAGGGCCTGAACTTCAGGTTAAAATGGGGGTAAACGCTGGAATATTCTTGGCTTCAATTTTACTAAACGAGATGCGCTATCTAGTGTATATAAGATATCTATGTTCAAAACTTTGTAGTAATACATAAGAACACGTAAACTAACTAATTTTTTAATATTAAAATGTATATACACACACATCGCACAGTTGAACGCAATTAAGCCTGATCCTTACTACGACGCAAGCATATAAGAAGGATCAAACGTATCGATTTCTTATGTCCCAGGGTTCGTACAGGTCAGGAAGAGTTAAATTCAAGGACTTTCAAGGTCAGTGTATCAGGAAATTCAAGGACTAAAGGCTGAAAAAAAGGCGTTAGAAATCAGTAAAAAGTGACGTTAAACTGTTCAAACGGCAACTTTAATGAATTTCAAACAGCTTTGGTCTTTGTAAGACATGAAAATCAATTAAAAAAATGATTTTCAAAGAGAATCAATTTACAAAATGTCCAATTGTTAATGCCAAACAATTTCAGGAAATATCCACTAAAGCAAGAACAATTTAAGGACTTTCAAGCACTTCTTTATAAACTCAAGAACTTTCAACGATTTTCCAAATTCAAGGATTTTCAAGTTTTGTACAACCCTGATGTACTGTCCTCACTACGACGGAAAAACAAAAAAAAAACATAAGAATATCGAAACGTTGCGTTATTTTCCTTATATGTTGTTGCTTATCATTGCGCTTTATCTTGCGTTGTAGCGCGGACAAGGTGAACATAACTAACAATTAATTACACGGCGCGCAAGTCTTTGTCTCTAAAACGATGGACGATTTTAACTACGATATTATATATTACAGCATTTGTTACATATAGAAAATTTATAATACATGCACTTTGTATACCTTTATTGGATTAAATGGCTTGAAAGTTGGAATTGTGTTTAATAGGATTTTTTATACTGCGTACCAAGGGCAGATTCTACGAAGGCCTGGTCGAATAGTGATTTTTTCAAGCTTTGTTCTATCAGACTCGGATTAAAGTTTAGTATTTATAAGTTAAAGGTTTTTTGTACAACTTATGCGTTCATATCTGTAGTTTTACAGCTTTTCAGGCATTTTTAGAAATCGTACAACCGGCCCCAGGCGCTCAGAACTATAATAACTAAAATGCCACTTGGCTAAGACTGCATTTTAACATTTTTCTTTTATACGTTTCCCCAACGGCAAACACACTTAAAAAGTATGCTTCGTGCATAAACGATAAAAGAGTGCTAAAATAAAGACATTTTACGCCAAAGAGAAAATGATATTACGAAAGTCACCGAACTGTGGAATCGCATCAAAAATTCGTATATCGACCACTCCCACAAACGTCTACGATCGCGCCTACATAGTTTTGCACACAATTCTAATTTTGAACAGCCAATCCGGTTCTTGATGACAATTACAATTAAACGTCGATTGACTGTTTAAAATTAGAATTGTAAACATGCAAAAATATGTAGATGCGGTCGTAGACGTTTGTGAGAGTGGCGGCGATACGAATTTTTGACGCGATTCCACAGTTCGGTGACTTTCGTAATATATGCAGTTCAATATGTTTTGCTTATACAGTAAAACCCAGCATATAAGAACCTAGAATTTAAAAACCTGTTTAGGTTAGAATTTCAATTAAGCTCTTCACAAAGTAATGGAAATGACCCAGAACCCTGGAAATGTCATTTCGATAAATACCATGTCTAGTCTATATGAACACAACAACAAATCATTCTTCTTCTTCAGTGAAAATACTATGTCATGACAATCTCAACGACTAGTGATTGTAAGCAATGTTTTCCAGCATCATGGACTGTTAGATAATTTGTCATAATTTATATAAATTATATACCACATCTACCGAAAATGAGTCGCTTTCTTCTTAAGAAAATAAGAACCTATTTAAGAACCTGTTTAGCCCAATTTCCTGGAAAAATCTAGGTTCTTATATGCGGGGTTTTACTGTATTCTGTAATATATTATAATTATAATATAATTCTGTATATTCATATCATCATTATACTAGTTACATTCGAATTTACATTTTTACGAGATTTTTGTGTTTTTCAACTGCAAGGTGCATTTGAAAAGGTAACTTAACTGGTTCCACTCATCGCAAAATCAACTCGAAACGAGTGCTTCCATCTAATACACCCTTTCGATAATTTCGTCATTTGGCCTGGGAGCCTCGCTCTCATGAATCGTGAGCCAATCACCTTGCGTAATTTACTAATGATAGCGAGGCTCCAAGACCAAAAAGTATGTGTGACGTAATTATTGAAAGGGTGAATTAAGACAAGATGCCAGCTCGGGCAATCACTCGGGCTGTAGGGGGCGACACGATACGCACAAAATTGGCAAAGCTTCAAAACAAAGATGCGTAATGTACAAGGTCTGAAATTTCAATTATTTGATCAGTATCGAACTGTGATATTATACTCTCAAACGTACGCGATCTGCCTGAAAATATGCCAGTTTTATGCATAGTTTTATGTCACGCGAACCGATCAACTGCCACATACATAAATACAAACTTGTAGTTTAGTTGATGTAATTAAGTGAGCATTATTTTAGCTAAATTGTTGCATCCTGAGCCTGCGATGCTTTGGTGGATGTCGCGTTTGTGAGACACAAAAAAAACAACCAAAAGAAAAATACAGAAAGGCCCCCATTCTATATCTCCGGCGCTGCCAGCTACTGCGATTTGATGAAAGTACTCGCAACGAGCTGGCTTTTTGCGATGAATTAACCAAGCTTACAAAACTAGAATTTGAACAACGTAGTGATTCGTCTTTGCTTATGTAACCTAGGTGTCTACTATTCAACGAGAATCAACAATAATATAATACAAATATCTAACAACTTGATACACATCTATGCTTGAGTTCCTTTCCAGAGTTCTTGAGTTCCATAGCATGGTCAATAACTGCTTCTAAAACCGCTTTCTTCGTTAAAAACTCTAAATCTTCGTTCTTGCTCGTTTCACCATTCCGTGGACATAACTTCCCATCTCTAGAAGTTGGTGGTGAATTTGAAAACTTCGATGTATTTGAGTTCCAATCCAACATTTGTCTCGATTCTGACCTTTCTACGGTAGTTTCCGACTTCTTACCGAGCGATGTCGAAGTCTTTCCGACTATTGCCGATTTTTCTCCGATAACATCCGACGTTTTACCACCAACCGATGCCGATCGCCGCCCGGTAGCCCCCGACGTCCCCCGGAAAGGCGCCGACCGCCGCTCGGCACCCCCCGATTTCGCATCGGAAGATACAGGTAGCTCTTCGGAAGACTTCAACCAAATTGTAACGTCAACCTCTCCTTCAGATCTTTCCTTGTCTTTTGAACCCGAGTTTTTACGTGTAGTATTCGCAACTTCCTTATCGATCTCAGCATTCTGAACATTTGAATTCTTCGAAGATGCGAGCGCTTCGACTTTGCGGGAACGTTCCGTCAATCTCCGAGCTTCTTCCTTAGTTCCCGCACTGGAAAGCGGATTCAAGAACTGAATCAACTGTTGAACGGAGCTTCGCAAAAAAGAGGTAGAGTTACTTTGCTGCTCATTTTCACCCTCAGAAATGCTACCATCTTTATTTACGCTGCGGTCCCGTAATGCCCCTACCAATCCGTTCGGTTTATGTTCAGAGGGCAACACCAGCACAGACGACCTGTCTGTATGCTCAGCAGCAAGTTCCAGAACTTCATAATCCGCTACTTTAACTTTCCGCGCCTTCGCCTCACATTTCCCGGTCCCCGTATCTGACTTTCCGCCTTCCATCTCAAGATCCTCGGATTCATACCCAGCATCCTTGCGTTCCATATCAGCTTTTGTTATCGTACATGTAGACCCAGAATTTTTTCCCACTGTGGACGAAATCCCGGTACAAGGCAAAACTTTCCGGGGACATTTTTCCGGTGGTCTTGTTACGGTGTTCGCCCGCTTTCGTCGGTTGCATTTCGGGCATATTTGACAGTAACCAGGCACGTACTTTGTTATCATAATATCATCGTCACTTTCGGCGTCTTCGGCTTTTCGTTTCCGGTTAGAACTAAGTCCGCTCTGTTGCATGGCCGCGGTCCCGGCCGCGATAGCCCGCTGGAAGATAAAATTGGTGTCGGAATTCAAGATATCGTTCTCGGCTTGTCGTCTGAGCCCGTTGACCACGTTCATAATGTCATCGGAATCCGTATCGGAGTCCACGTACTGTCGTTTCTTTCTTGGGCACCGTCCGCCTGGAACACAAATCACCGCTTGGTACGCATGCGTGTACAACGACCGCATGTCAATACCCATGCAGCTTGTGGGCGCATTTTCAAAAGCTTAAAAATACGATTCACTTTTGCGATTTTCAAAAGCTTACTATATTATCCAACTTTACGAAAGCATCGGGTAGAACGAAGGGAAGCTAGCATTAGGTATGGAAATTATACCCACGCAAAAATCTCACATCTTGTAGCAAGTCCGCCAACAAGCCGTCAACAAGCATGGAACAACTTGTTAACATTTGCAACAACCTTGTTGATATTACCAGACTTGTTCAAACAAGTGCGACACAGTCACGAAATAACAATTTTGTGTGAAAATACAACCTTGTGTGGTCATACAACCTAGTAATAACAATACATATATATCATGATCGTATCAGACTTGTTAGAACAACCTTGTAACAAGTCTGATAATGCCATCAAGCTTGTTACAAGTTGTTAACAGCTTGTTCCAAACTTGTTACAACAACTAGGAACAAACAGTGGGAACAGATTTGTAACAAAACTGATAAGAATTGTTTTAGTTGGTAATTTGTTTTAGTCCTATTTTAAAGGTCAATAATCATTAACACGGACTTTTTAGCGATGAGTAGTTGAGTACCCAATGTAAAGTTGCTTTGTTTTACACATGCGTTAAGCTCTCTGGTCTGACCGAGATCTCAAACGAAACATACCTTTGCGGTTACGACTTGATTTTGCGAGGGATCCATCCGGACTTGATTTTGCGATGGATCCATCCGGACTTGATTTTGCGACGGATCTACCCTGAATTGATTTTGCGACGGATCCATCTTGAATTGATTTTGCGACGGAACCCCCCTGAATTGATTTTGCGACGGCACCCCCCTGATTGGAAGTTAATGTTGCAGCAAGACGTGTAATACGATCATTGACATCGACTTCGTGGATGGGTCGACAGGTGGGACACAGCAGAGACGGGGGGTTGGTGCTCCAGTCTTTACAACCAACATGAGTGCCAAACTGTCCACAACTTGAGCAAAGCACCAGTTCCCATTGCCTGAAAAAAAAACCCCAAATGTCAGCATGATTCTCTCACAGATTATGCATATAATAAGGCAAATAAAAATATGTGGGTTTCGGTTTCCCGACCCTACCTAGCTTTTGGACGCCGAAATCCCGACCCTAAACTTTTTATTGGATCATGCTTGTAAGTGTTCCCGCTTAGAGGAAAACGTTTGTGAAAAATGGAAATTTGAGGCAATATTAGGGAAATTTATCTTTGAATGTGGAAGCACTGACTAAACAAAATGGCGTCCCGTTGTTAGGAAAATTTAAAAAAAAGTTTTAAAAAAAAAGAGTTAAAACCGACTTACGACTTACCCTACCTAAGTTTTTACAAGAAGAAATAGGAAACCCACATATTTTGTTTTGGCCTAATATTCAGTTGATTGAGACACGAATACGAATCAATGCTGAATGTTTTAAAATTTAAACTCGTGACACCGGAAGGTTATACTTCCTTGAAGGACATATTTATTAAACGGCTTTGAAATATTTCAGATGTAAATATCCATGTAAATACAATTTCAGATTTCTCAATAGACAACTTGCATGTTCGACTAAATTTTAATCTAAGTAAAGAGAAGGGAATAAAACACAATAGTTAAAAAGAAAATAATGAAATTAGTAAAATTGCAAAAGTTGGTTGCGAAATGTTGTAAAGTGCAGAAAATATATGTAGCCTTGCGAAGTCTGCATATTTTCAGTATATTTGTATTACGTGCGGAGATTGTTACCATTTTCGGCTCAAAAATGGTAACAATTTCCGCACGTAATACAAACATACTGGTAGCCCGCGTGCAGGCCCAAGGGAGCAGGCTGAAGGGAACTTGATATTACGAAAATCACCGAACTGCGGAATCGCATCAAAAATTCGTATATCGACCACTCCCACAAACGTCTACGACCACGCCTACATTCGACTACATAGTTTTGCATGTTTACAATTCTAATTCTGAACAGCCAATCAGGTTCTTGGTAATTGGCTGTTTAAAATTAGAATTGTAAACGTGCAAAACTATGTAGGCGCGGTCGTAGACGTTTGTGGGAGTGGTCGATATACGAATTTTTGATGCGATTCCACAGTTCGGTGACTTTCGTAATAGTGGGCCTGCAAGCAGGGCCCGGTATTTTGTACTTTCCGCGTTCGCCCACGAACGCGGCATTCTGATTGGCTGTTTGCTGTTGGATTCTATAATTAGGTCAGTGATTCATCACAAAGGCATAGACAAAGGCTCTCGATAAGCTTAAAATTCGAAAATTGATCACTTTTTTCGATTACAAATGGAACAAGAACAGACTGTTTATTGTTTACTTGAAGGAAGAGATGTTTTGTCGTTATGCCAATGAGGATTGCTTGTCGTGAGGTGTTGGAATAGCAACATTTAATACGAATGGGGTATAAAACTATAGTAACCTTTACTTGAGTTTCATTAATTTCAAACAGACTTGATACGTTATATGTTCCTCAAGAAAATTATCTTTTGGTTGATGTTGAGATGCAGTGCATGTAAGCCTATTCAAAATACTTTGCGGTTTACAAGGCTTCGCTGAGAGAGCAAAAGAGAAGACAGTATTAAATTGCCGTTTGAAACGAAACGATCTGGACTCTGAACGCTCTCTTCTTTTGTAGAGTTCTCACCAAATGAAATAACTGAAATAAATTTCGTACTTTCCGCCGCCAACAAGAATTGCACACACGATCTGATAAGTGAGACAATTTATTTATAACAATGGCGACAGCGAAGCAACATTATAAATGCTGATGTGGTCGCACGACTTCCTTCACGATTTGAAGTTTGAGACTGGTTTTCTGTTGAAATTCGTCTTAATTTGCCTGTTCCGATTTTAGTTGAAAATGAGCACTTGTAAATTTAGCAATTACTGACTGCGTTGCTTGTTTTTTTGGAGTTTTAACACAGGCATTTACACATTGTTTCTATTTTGAATATTAAAGCAGAGAAAACCCCGCAACATTATAATGCGAGTTTGTTTGTTAATATTTGGGTTGCTGACATTGGTTCTTTTTTGACAATTGACGCGCGAATGGGGCGTGTTATGAAAGGGGCGTTTTACAAAATACCGGGCCTTGCTTGCAGGCCCACTATCAGTTCCCTTGGGCCTGCACGCGGGCTAATATACTGGAAATATGCAAACTTCGCAATGCTATATTTTTGTATTTTACAACATTTCGCAACCAAATTTTGCAATTTTACTGATTTTAATAAGTTCTTTACGGGAATTTACTTTTTTTTGCCTAAATCAAAAATTAGTCTAACATGCAAGTTGTCTATTCTTCGGAATTATAACACTAACTTTATTTATCATGGATAACTTTTTCAGTTCTCTCCCTAGAGGACCAGTAAGGATCATCTCTCATTGATCCAGTGTTACTACTGCAGGAGGAAACATAACTAAACTAACTTTATTTATACTGGATAGCTCTTTCACTCCTGAACTGTTCTTCCTAGAGATCCAGTAAAAGTCAGCCGTTATTGATCCAGTATTACTACAGGAGGAAACCTATAAACTAAACTTTATTGATACTGGATAGCTCTATCAGTGCTAAACTGTTCTTCCTAAAGGACCATGCAGTAAGAGCCATCGCTCATTGCTCCATTGATAATACAACAGGAGGAAACCTAAACTTTATTTGTGCTGGGTAGTTTTGTTCAGCCTTTCTCACGGCCGATTTTCCCGCCATTTTTTGGGTACTGCCCAGTGAACTCTAAGGGAACTGGAACGATAACTTGGCGGCCATCTTTGAAGCCACTCAAGACGGCCGCCATGTACGTATGGAGTGGAAAATACGCCACCAAAAAGATGTCTGTTTTCGACCACTAAATAGCTGTATTTTAACAAGGAAAAAAGCTACAAACTTTCAACAATACCTGAAATTTAATACAAAACCTGTTTCCAGAACGTAGAGCAGTTATAAAGTTCTTTTTTCACGAGTCAAAATGCGAAGTTTTTTTCGGCACGTTCAAACTTGTGTAATATTTTGAATATCAAGCTGTTACCTAGGCTCAGATTCCAGCCGTTGTGTTCTCGCCACTCGCCCACTTAACGGCTGGGTCAATGAGCTTCGACATTGTTCTGATTGACCAATCACATTACAGCCCCCCAAAATTTGGGGGGCATAAATTTGTATTAATAATGCATAAATTTAACACAAAGGTAATAAATTAAATATGACTAACGCGCATTGCTGAAGCGTTCGAGGTCGGCGTTGTGCAAATATGTGCACTTAAAAAGATCTGTTCAACGATATTTATACGTGAACTACATGGATTAAAGCGACATTTTTTGGGGAAGAGTAATTCCGACGATTTTTACGACACGAAACGAAGTCTCTCTACGAATAATAGTCGCTTGAATGTTTTCGTCTTTTCGAATCCGTTGCATATTTTTATATTGTGTTTATAAATAATATATCTCATTGAGGATTCTTGGTCATGAAAGGGCAAAGAATATTTTGCGTGTGGCTGAGCAAAATTAATAACCTTTCTTTTTTTAGCTTAGTTAGCTAGGTGGCCTAGTCCTTTGAAACCCTCCCTGTTTCTGCTGATTCAGTTGGACATTTATAATTATATTTACAATAAACCTGGATGTGTTTATTATTGGGCTGGTCTGACATATTGCCAGGAAAGTAGAAAATGTTATTTTGCAAAGTCTTGTGACATATAGTATATCAGTATGTAGGATATTGCAGTATTTAAAAGGCTTATTTTAATCAATATTAAGACATGTTTATATGATCCTGTCAGGTGGGAAACCTTGCCAGGCAGCTAGGATGTCATGTTTATACATGTTCGTGAGTGAGTTCATCAAATATATACATGTATTTTTGAACACAAGTTGATATGATAGTCAGGATCTTGGAAACTGCCTCATCCTGCCTAGCTGGGATTTTATAAACAGGCCCTTTCATGGAGCCCATGGCTAGGTAATAATAGGCTTGCATGGTTAGATCTCCCACAAGCTAGTTTGGGCCATTTGCAGGGGCGTAGGAACCTTCGAAAAGTTGGGGGGGGGGCAGGCTTTGAGGGGCACTTTTCGAAAAAAAGGGCATCTCCAAATTTTTTGTTGGCAACCTCTCCCCCCCCCCAAGTTGGGGGGGGGGCATGCCCCCCCCCGGTTCCTACGCCCCTGGCCATTTGACAATATTTTTTAGACTGGGCAGGTAATTTGTGAACTGAAACTGATATATCAGTGTGCTCATATATGCTAATTGCTAATTACAGGCAAGCACAATAAATTCAATATTATTTTATATATTGACAATATGATTTACCATGAATACTATTTGAATAAATGTGGGCACATAGTTATTTGAAGGGCAATAAATAAATCCAATTGTTGTGAAGGGGCAAAGAATGGGACTTGTTGGATAGCCTAAGTAGAGGATTTATGGAATAAAAGTATGCAATGTTTTATAAATTCAGACATCAGTGAAATATGCATTTAGTCTGTTCAACAAGCTCAAATATGTTTGCTCTCAGCCCTCAGGCTGAGTTTTGGAAACCTTGTCAGTATGGTATTAAGAAAAGGATAGTTGTCATGTCAATGTGTGTTTTTAACGGCTGTTCATATGGAAGCCAGACTGAAAATGACAAAGCATGATAAATTGCTAGTTCTGAAAGATTGAATATTTATTTAAGTTAATAAAACAAGGGTTCAGAAAATTTGTTGCAGTAACACTTTAGTTAGAAAATATCAAAATGTTAAACACCAAAATTATCCTGGCATGGGGGATTAAGTTTTCATGGGGGAAAAGAAGCCAAATTCTTCTTGCATTCCTGCAGAGATGTATTCAGGGATGGATTTACTGGGGGGGCACCCCCCTTGCCCTGGCCAGAGGGGGTGCAGGGGGGTGTGTGCTATTTTTCATGATAAAGCAAAAAATTATTAGAGACAAAATGGCATACAGTAATTTGAGTAATAACATGATGATAAGTGAAATGTGAACAACAATTACAATTTAAATACAGTAGTCAAGCAGGACTTTGCAGTAGTGAGGCAAGTTGATGGGTGTGTGGCACACATGACCGACACAACTCGGCACCAGAGCTGGCAGAGCACCCCCTACCAGATCATGCTGGATGTATTTACTGCCATGGAGATGCACCCCCTTAACATTGGCAAAGGGGTGTAAGGTGGGGGGTGGGGGGAGGGGGGGGGGTATTTCGTCAAATCATTTTTTTTTCAATTTGGAAAGCCAATATCCTGTCACCATTACCACAATAATACCCCTCACTGCTGTGTGTAGCTACAAATGATTACAGACTTGGTTAACAGTCATACACGGAACCATATATGGGTCGATGAGCACACCCGGCATCCATTTGTACAGACAACTTATACAACACCAAAATAAAGCCAAGAACATTTTAAATTTCAAATATTCTTGCTACATCAAAAGACTGTTTAACCAAATCTATGAAGGTGCACAGTAAGGTACAGTTCAACATCAAACACTACTGTAGGTCTTCTATTTTGTAGCTTTGAAGTTTGCAGGCTTCCAGACCATCATAATGATCATATCTTGACAGACTATTGTTTGGTCTATAAAAGACTTAGTTCCTTCACTGTCCCTCGAACAAAATCGATCATAAGGAAAATTTTTAGATATTAATCACAAGGCGTAAAATTGCATTACGTAAAACTATAGTCTATAAACAACTCGAATATTAACATTAAATTTATGTTCCTCTTCAAAGAATATTCATTGAAAAACTATTTGTTTGAAATAAGACGTTAATTATTCAGATTCACCTGCTTTTGTTGGTAGGGTTTATTGTTTTACTATTTAGATATATAATATATTCATTGACTTGTGTACATTGCAGTTCCTGCCTTCGTTAAAAACATACTAGAACAACTTAATAACATTTTGTCAAATGAACTTAAAAGCTTCCATTTTGTTTTCCTTTACTTACAAAAAAGTTATCGATGAATGCACAAAGTTGTTAAAATTTGCTATTTCCTCTTTGAAACAAAATTGTTCGCTCCTGACAGCCGCCATTTTACATTGCACAGAAATACATAATTATGCAAAACATATGCATAAATTTAAATATTAACCTTGACGTCACAGACAAGAAATATTAACCATTGACCCAGCCGTTAAGTGGGCGAGTGGAGAGAACACAACGGCTGGAATCTGAGCCTACATTTATAGCTGATCGGATATTATTGTTGATATTATCAAGGATCACTTTACTGACTTTTCCAAGTTCATCTTTCGATGGATTAATAAGGCGGCATTTTATTTTACATTGGAAGGGAAGTTTTCTTTAAACAAACGGAGTAAAAAATAAAATCATAAAGAATGCCAGTGGATTCAGAATGTACAAGCGCTCACCTACGGTAAAGAAATCGCCAACCTACGAACAAAGCATGACAACCACCTACCACTTGTCCGCCAGCTACGCGTCTTCCTTGATGCAAGTGGTCTTCTTCGCTGTGATGGGAGGATCCACAACGCCCCCCTCAGCGAATTGACCAAATTCCCTTATCTCCTTCCTGCCAAACATCCCTTTACAGAATTGGTCATTCAAGACGCCCACCAAAACCAGTTACACACAGGTGTAAATTCCACTGTTACAGCACTACGTCAGAAGTTCTGGATACCAACAGCCCATCAGTCTGTGAAAAAAGTACTCCATTGTTGTACTCCGTTCTTTTCTCTCAATACTGGTGACATATATGGTACATTATAACGAACTGAATTAGTTAATCGCCTGATGATTGTCACAAATAGTGACATGAAACTTAAAGTAGCGAGAAATTGAAACATTTTAAGATAACAAATTAATTCGCTCTGCTAAATATTTGTAGTATTGAGCACTCTTTTATCTATAATGAAAAACAAGACTGTTTATATATATATATATGTATATAAATATATGAGTTAAGCTTTTTTTTTATTCCATATGCTGATAGTTTTACCAGCAAAAGATTGTGTGGAATAAGATCAAATGCCTTGCTTAAATCCATTGAAACAATTCCCACTGTCTTTTTATTGTCGAAATCGATTCTCCAGTCTTCAATAAGTCGTAGTAGGACTGCTTCACAATTATAGTCTTTACGATAGGCTGACAGGAATGGAGACAAAATTGCGGAAAATAAGTAAGCTCATGATTTAGGCACTTTTCAAATCTCTTGTCTAGTATAACTAGAATAGAGAGAGGTCTGTATTTCATTTCTTGGACAGCACAGGCAGACAACAAATATTGGCAATAGCTTCTTTCTCTGTAATCAACTCATCACCCACTTTTAAATGTATGGTTTCACACTGATTTACTTTTTTGCAGTGCATCAGAGGCTTTTTATGGTATTCCAAAACTGCTTAGGATCACCTTTAGCATTGTCCCAAAGATAACTAGAAATTATCTTTCATCTCAGACTAATGGTTAAGTTAAGTTGGATTCTATAGTTTTCACCAATAGTAGGATTGTTAGTTTGTACAAAAACTCTTCTTTAGTTTGTTGTGAAACCTGATTGCATCTAAGTAATTCTGGTGACATATATGGTACATGCTCATGTATGACCATAGTTAATAGAATGAGAGGGTTTGGAAGGCCCGGTCACGTGACAAAATAACTTATTGTTCTTTGTCACATGGAAGCCAAGGTGCATTCGACGAGGTGTTTACATAGTAAAATCCAAATGATGCCTAAAATACACCAACAGTTTTGAAATATATTGCTAAGCACCCGTGCCTTCGTGCCCACACAGCTAATTGCCCGTACCCAGTCCCCGATAGAGTTATGCATACGCGGCCGCACGCACATGTTATTTAAATTTCTCTTCTTTGCTGTGCCACGAAAATATCTGTCGCGTTTAAAAGGTTTTATTCATGTCGTCGAAAAAAAAGAAGAGACCGTCGGGGATGTTTGACTTCGGTAATGTTCTATCGAAGTTCGAAGACGAGAAAAGAAACCTCGATGCTATTCGCGAGCGGTTAAAAGCCGTGAATGAAATTGACCTAAGGCGATTGTTGTCGGACGCGTGTGTTTTGATGGAGGACGAAGCCCTTCAGTTATTAGCTTCAAAACTTTCATTTGAAGGGCTGTTGAATCTGCGTGACGCCGTTCGACACGTTCCGAAGAATATTCCGCGTGTTGTGAATGGTATCTCTTTGCGATATAGTTTTATATTCAAAGTTTTCGAGAGTTTGCCTTCACAACATTTGGTGATGTCGATGGCGGAGTTCCAGATGTATGTGAAGTTTGCGGAAACGTACTGCCCCAACTTTATCGCCGAGAAGAAAGCATCCGATCATCTATGGAAGCTCACGCAAACGGAGGACTTGCCGTTCAATAAATTTCTCACACCCCCTGTAGCCAGATGCTTTCAGTGTCAGAAAGATCTGACTGTAAGAAATAACCCGTCGAAAGCTAAAGTGTTCACGTTGGATGGACCCATACCATGCACAAAAGTTACGCTGGAATGTAGATGTTGCTCGTATGTTTATGGAATCTGCAATTATAGTGACGGATCGGGTTCTCACTTTTACCCAAAGTCTGATGAATATGATGTTGAGCTTATCGAAGTGAGCAATGTCACATATTTTGACGCGAAACTATACAAGTGGTTTCCTTCATTAAGGTGAGGAAACCCTTATTTATCCACAATTATAAAATTAATATTTAGATATAAAGAATACTAATAACAAATTTTTGATTTACACTTTAGTGGACACAAAATCTATATGACTAAATTATATTCAGTATAGATTTAAAGTTTGTTCGTTCACTGCAACCAGGTATATCCATCGTGTTTCGCTCGCTGTATGTACTTACTCTGTGGCCCGAGTAATAAATTTATATTAGTGTTTACATGATAACTTGGTCAACCCTTTCAGACCCCGACAACGTGGGGCACACTTCTCGAGACCTGGGTTGGCTTGACCCAGGCTCATGCAAAGTCAAACTGGTATATAAACTGTAGAAGCACATTCAAATAAAATGAAGTTCAAATGACAATGTCTTTCAACAAAATACAGTATCCCCCAATATGTCAAAATTTATTTATATTCAGTATAGATTTAAAGTTTGTTCGTTCACTGCAACCAGGTATATCCATCGTGTTTCGCTTGCTGTATGTACTTACTCTGTGGCCCGAGTAATAAATTTATATTAGTGTTTACACAGGGACGCCGGAACTGGGGGGGCAGGGGGGGCGGCTGCCCCCCTTGCCTTTTGCTAGGGGGGGCAGAAGTGCCCTTTTAGTTATAACATAATACGTGATAAATCACATTTCCAACGATGCTTTTTGTAGGAAAATCACGAGATTCAGGTAATTTATAGTTTATATTTATAAACATTTTGGGAAATTTTTGGAATTTAGAAAAATATTTTGAAGTAATGGCGAAAATTTAAGATATCCGGAAAAATTTTTGACTGCACGGAAAATTTTTGTATGTCCGGAAAAAATTTTTGACCCCTAAAATGGTACACTGACCGAAATTTTTTTGGCGACGGGGGGGGGGGGGGT